TAAAAAATATATAAGAAAACTCAAAATGCAAACAGTTCCCTTTCAGCTAACTTCCGTCACTTAAAATTACCTCCTCCAAATAATTGAGGGAGATTTTTTGACAAAATATATAAATAAATAAAAGAAATTTAGTGCAAAACGCAAAACGCAAAAAAAAAAAAAAAAAAAGAAGAGAATTTTATGTACTTCACCTTAGATTTTATACTAACATATAATTCAAACTCTTCAAAATGAATTTTATATTGTACTTGGCAAGTACATCGATCTAGTTATTTATTTATTTATTTTTCCCCGGTAAAATTTGATTAAACCTAAAACAACACTTAATAAATTCATTAAATAACCTCTTAATTTAATTATAATTTGTTTGTTGGCGACATTTCTCTGTACATCTTTTGTTGGCTTATATATTTCATTCTTCCTGTCACACACACAAATTACTCATGTTCAAGGCATATTTTTCTCTTTTGTTTTCACGTATGAAGAATATGCTTTTAATTGGGTTAGTCAAGTGCATGCTCTTGCTGCCGTAATGGAATTTGATTCATATAATTTATATATATATATATATATATATATTGGATGTGAAAGTTTGTATTAAGAAATAATATGAAGGGAGTGAATAGGTTTTACTTGTTCATTTATTTAATTTTTATTTATTTTAATTTTATCAAAATAAAACTAAAATGAAATCTACAAAGCAAAAATAATGTGTAAGTAAAGTAAATAAAATTTGAGAAATGACACTAAAATTTTTAGTGAGGAAACCCCTATTAGTGGAAATCAACCTATCGTTATGGAAAAAACATCGTGGACTACCCAAACTAAAACGAAACGATCCACTGTGTATGTTTGAAACAAAGTACATCTCACTTGATTCAGACTCACATCTCTTCATTCTACCAAGACTCAACTCGTTGAACGCCACTGACTTTGCGACCTCCCGTCCAACAACTCACGACTTCAGACTTACTCCTTAAACCTTGTTACTTGTAGAAGGATTGTTGGCGTGTGTGTGTGTATATATATATATATATATATATATATATATTGTAAGTTGTGCAGCTAAAAAATATGTGGTAGTTTGTATTAAAAGATAACCTTTAGTGAATATGTTTTACTTACTCTTTTATCTAATTTTTACTTATTTTAATTCTATTGAAATAAAACTAAAATTAAACCCACAAAACAAAAATAAAATGTGAGTAAAATTTGAGAGATGACATCGGAATTTTTTGCGAGCAAACTTCGATCGGTGGAAATTAACCAATCGTTATGGGAAAAATCTCGTGGACTATGCCATCAAGAGTAAAATGATCCATTATGTTTGAAACAAAATACATTTCATTTTGACTTAGGCTCACACTCCTGCACTCTACCAAGACTCAACTCGTTGAACGCCACCAGCTAGCTACCTACTTTAGGTTTACTCCTTGAACTTTATAGTTGGATTGCTGGTAGATTAATAACATTCCACAAATACCTTAACCCCTTCAAAGTGTGATCGAATCACCATTTTTTTTCAAATAAGATTTTGATGTAGAAGAATAAAATCTTACTTCTCAGAATATCTGAATATTCAATTATGCTCAAATTCCGATCAGATAGATAACACCACTCCTAAATCACTCTTGTATTTATGTGTGTGCTCTTAAAAAATAAAATTAGAAAAATCAGATTTGATTTTCTGAACAAAAATATCTCTCAAAGTTGGCTCTCAAAATAAATCAGAGTTTTGTATGCAAAAAGTCGTAAAAACCTTAAGTGAGAAAATATGTATTTATAGACTTTTGAAAACCTAATTGTACTTGAAAAACAAGTCAATTTCGTGCATAATTAGTAGGGTAAATTGCAAAAAATTCCTCTTGACTATTCACCATTTGCAGAAAACCCCCCTCATGAATATTTTTAGCAAGAAATCCCCCTCAACTATCTCAAGGGGGTGTTTTAAGCTGATGTCTGTTTACGGGGGCATTATTTGGACGAAAATAACCCTTAGACAGTTTCATCTACATTTTTTTTACGCATTGCTCTTTGCACTCTCTTACTCTCTCTCTTATATGTGTATGTATCTTCCCTATAGACAGAATAGAAGACCATCAAACTCTCTGGTGAGTGAGGGGTTGGGTTTGTGAATAAGCTACCAACAGCCATCGTTGTTCTCTGTTATTCCCATCGGAAATGCCGTGAGGTTCATCTCAATCCCAATCATATTCCTCATTAACCTCCCGTGTCTTCCTATCGGCATGGCACCTCACGTCTTCCTACCTGAAAGGATGTGTTCTTTGGTCTGGAGCATGGGTCTGTCGGCGCCGGAGACGACGAGGATTGCACCGTTAATCTGGGTCTTACAGGCAACGATTTGCAGTAATATTATTTAGCAACATAGTAAAAAATGAGTTGACAGAGAAATAGAAAAATTCATGAAAACCCAAACATGAACCCAAGATAAAATCCAAAAAATGAAACCCAAAAATTAAATGAACCCCATAGGCCCATAATTAAAGCAAATCAATAAATGAACATCGTTTAATCATGATACAGGACTTAAATGGGGAAATTGAAAAGCCCCTCCATTGGGATCGATTGGGAATTTTGAAAGGACTTCAAGTCTTCAATAGCAGCTTCTTGAAGATAACTCTATCTTTGAGTGGTCGTTCTTCTTCCATAGCAGCCCCTCAAAGAGATGCTCTGTTTGTTGATGCTTCTTTTCTTTTGTAATGAATTTATTTTATTTTTTGTTATTTGTAGTTGGTTTGTTCCTGTTTATATTGATTAAAAATTAAAAAAAAAAACAAAATCAAATTCAAATATTTTCGCACAACTATGTATGTATTCTCATCTGAAACATATATATAAATCTAGAAAAATATTCAAAATCATATATATTTAAGATGCCACATATGCTATTCTGAAATAGAAGTAGATACATATGTATATATATAGAGAGAGAAAGAATTAAAACTTGAGTGCAACTTAGTCCAAGTCCCATTCACCACATTAAAATCACTTTCAGAGGTCCTTTTCTTCTCTATGTCATTCACATGAAAGTTTAAAATAAATTTTTTTAGAAAAAGAAAAAAGGAAAAAAATGGTGATCAGATAAGTCTTCACTTTATGAGTGATTGCCCTCTTTAGCCTTCTGTTTGCTTTAAAGTGATTCATTTATTGATTTGCATTTACTGATTTGCATCTTATAAGGAAGATACATACATATAAATATATACATATATAAGAGAGAAAGTAAGTGAGAGTGCAAAGGGCGTGTCATAATAATATAAATATAACTGTTTAATGGCTATTTTCGTTGAAAAAATACTCCCTTAAACCGACATCAGCTTAAAACAATCTCGATATAGTTGAGGGAATTTCTTGCTAAAAATATTTATGAGGGAGTTTTTTGCAAATGGTGAATAGTTAAGGGGGATTTTTTGTAATTCACCCTAATTAGTATGGCAAAGGTCTAACAAAAAGGAGAAAGACGAAGCAGACCAGAAATAATAGTCATTAAATTGGACTGGAAGATTACTAATTATTTATAAATTATTAGTAAATTTAAAAACAAAATGATAGAATTGGTTGAAGAAATAATTGGGCATTGAATATGATCATGAACGGTGACCATCAACCACCGCTATAAACTAGCTGTATACATATTTATCAGACCCTTAAAGTCAAGATAGATCTCAATCTGTAGCCGCTTATGTTGGATAGGTCATATCATGTGTTCCTTGAGAACATTCATGTCACAAGTACTACAGTCCCAAGTGCTGTTACTTCCTGAAGCACCACCCACAGTTTGTGTTGATGTATGTGTGACTATTGGCTTGTTCCCTTGAAATCGTCCAACAGTATGTTCGTCCCTCAATTTTTATATAATTGTGAAAGCAAGAGAAGTTACAATGCTTTTAAATTTAGTTTCATATTAAAATAATAATTTTATTTCTAATTACATTATAATATTTGAATAACTTAAAATGCAGAAATTGAAAGTTTCATAAATAACCCTTTCTAACAATGTAAAATTTTAATTTTAATTAGAGGGTTAGTTTTGAAATATATATATTTTCTTACTTGGGTGTCGATGGAGGTAAAGTTTGTGTCTCTTAAATAAATTTAGAAAATTTTTAGACTGATAAAATATGTTTCTAAAAATTGTTTTGTGTCCATGGGAATAAATGAACCTTTTAAAAAAGAAACAATATTAACAGTCCCTTAAAATTTTTTTTGTGTATATGAGAAACACTCTTGACGAAAAAATGTTATCATGAACCTTTTTAAAAAGAAAAAAAAAAAAATCAAAACTACTAGAAATAAGTTTTTCGGTTCTCTAAAAAGTCAACAGTTTAAAAAATAAGTTTTTTTTTTTTTTTTTTAATAAAAAACTATTCATTTTTTAACTACAATGAAAATAAATTGAACCAAATAGGCCCTTTTAGTTTTTTGGGTTAATTATAAAAACGTCCTTGAATTATAATTTTATTTTATACGTAGCCACCTTGTACTATTTATTTATTTATTTTTTTTCTTTTTCGGTAAGTTAAAGCTTATACTAATTTTCTAGTAAACCTTGTACTATTTATTTATTTATTTTTTTTCTTTTTCGGTAAGTTAAAGCTTATACTAATTTTCTAGTAAACAAGAGGAGTACAATATTAATTTTTTTGCAAAATATCTCCTTTCATCACTTTACGATTCGAAATAAATCCTCAAAATATTGATTTTTTTTTTTTTTAATTGATGGAGATTATTTACATAAACTCTCCTAAAATATAAAAATTTTAATGTTATCTTTGTTTTTCAAGAGCTTTCAAGTTTTAACTCATTTATCTACGTATAGTTGGGTCTGTGATCCGTCAAATATGCGGTACAACACGTTCATATAACTACTTTCGGTTTGAGAGACAGTGACAGTACACCTAATAGGTCAGTGTTACTCGTCTCTGGTGGGGTCATTTTTCAATGCCACCATAAATACACAGTGCCTACTTTTTAAGGCCAATCTTTAAGATATTACGTATATACAAGAAAGATGAAGCATGTATATGTAATATGTATACTTTATCACATATCATGTAATGGTAAACGAAGCTGAAGAACACAAACGTACATTAATTCAATAACTAATGGAGTTTAAGCAAGAAGATGTATCAGAGCCAGTGAGTCCCACTGGCCAATACTTCAACAGCTCGGCGCTATCGGTTTCTATTATCGGAGTTTTGGAATCAGAAATCCCCATCGATGACTCCCCCACCATGGCACTACTCAAGGACGTGTTTCTCCCCATCAACCCACGGTTTTCCTCCATTATGGTAATCTCTCTATCTCTCTCTCTCTCTCTAAATATATATATATATATATATATATATATTGATTTTTTTTGTTTTGTTTTTGTTTGTCTTCATTCTTAGTAAAACTTTGAGCTGAGAAATGTATTAACTTGAGTTCCGAGTCTTGAAAGCACCCATTTTGTTTAAAGGGTATGTTAATTTGGATGGATCTAGAGCTATATGTGTTTGGTTGCATGAAATAGAAGTCTTGAAATTGAAACCGGTGAAATTAGAGTCCAACATAGCATAAGTGATTTTATGTTAAATCTGTTTTCTAATTAAATAAGCCTCAATTCATTATGAGCAGGTTAGGGACAAAAATGGAGTGAGACGGTGGAAGAGGGTTGAAGTGAAGCTCAAGGACCACATTAGGGTCCCAACTTTCCCTCCTGAGAAGTCACTAGAATTCTATGATGAGTATCTCAATGGCTACATATCAAAGATAGCCATGGATGGATTTCCACAAAGCAGACCACTTTGGGAGATCCACATCATCAAGTACCCTACAAGCAATGCAGCTGGGACTCTGATTTTCAAGCTCCACCATTCAATGGGGGATGGCTTTTCATTAATGGGGGCTCTTCTTTCTTGTCTACAAAGGGCTGACAATCCTTCCCTTCCCTTAACGTTCCCTAGGTTTCAAACGAGCTCAAAATTGGATGGAGGGGGTGGGAGCATTTTCAGCGGCGTGCCTCGGTTTTTCTCCGGCCTTGTCAACATTCTTTCGGATTTTGGATGGAGCCTCCTGAAGAGCAGCTTGGTGGAAGATGACCGGACACCGATAAGATCCGGGGACGATGGAGTGGAATTCCGGCAGATCGACTTAACTACCATGACCTTCTCTCTTGATCACATCAAGCAAATTAAGACCAGTCTTAGGGTGGTAAGATATATTAGCCATTTTTCTTTTCTTTTTATATTTGTAGTAGTAGTATAAGCCTGCTATATTTGTTCTTGAAAATGGATCTCTTAAATTGCATCTCCAACTTGTTCAACTATCCACTCTGCGTAATTTGATTTCCAACTAAATTCTGACAAAAATAATATCACGTACATGTCACGGGTCCTAAAACGGTTTGCCAGTTAATGTGCCGCGGCAGTAGCTGTTCTTTTAGTTTTTTGGTATAAATTTGACCAAATATTATTTTAATGTCATTAATGTTGGATAATGTTGCATAATTATTAAAGTACTCCATCAGGCCCATAATAGTTGTTCTGGCCATCTTTTCTTTTTGGATTGTTTCAAAATATTTGTCCACTTATTAAGTTTAAATAACATATTTCACATCTTTCTATAAAAGACCCTTTAAATTTTAAAAAATTTCAAATTTGATTATATATATATTTAAACTTGAGAGGGTAGTTTTGTAATTTTGGAGGGAAATAATGTAATAGTTACACGTCCTTTTAAAAAATTTTACTCCCCATAAAAGACATTTAATATGGGACGAAAAGAGTATTAATTACTATCGAATGTACTTTGCATGCATATCACAATTAATAATGAAATTGATGGCCAGTGACAATATGTTATGTCATATTAATTATTCTTGTAACTTTTGGTATTGGCGTTTGGTACCACTAATAAAAGAAATTTTAGGAAGTCTGGTTTTGAGTTGAAAATGTGGGGTTGAAAACTTGATAAGATGATAAAAGAAAAAAGAAAAAATAAAAACAAAAACTTGATAAGAATGTAGGTTTACCGTATAAACAAAAATTTATTCATCTTGATAAGATTGTAGGGTTCAACAAAATTTTACAATTTAATATTTTTTTTCAAGTCTTTTTGGCTGTGGACAATTTTAGGATTCTGTTTACCATTTAGATTTTAAATAATATGAATTTAGTAAAAAAACTTACAAGCATTGGATTCTCAGTCTAATTATACTTATTGACCTATCCATAACTCAAAAATTTGTTTTAGAATAGTACTGCATATTCACTTATATTTATATATATAGACATTTCACTTTTTATTGAGATGTTAACGTGGGACACCTCTAACAACTACTTTAAGGAACTCAAAGAGCATATTGTAAATGACAATATGGTTTAGTGACATTTCCTAAAATACTTGCAAATATTGAAATGTCGAGGGTCACATCTTAAAAACAGAAAGTGAGTTGGGTGAGTTTACTGTTGACCCATGCACGGTAAAACAACTAATTTTGATTTTTGTTTTTACAAGATGTCTCGAGGTCATATGCCAATTCAACTACGAGTCCAACTCTCTGGGGATATCAATTTAAGTCATGCTGCCCCACCTGTATTTGGATGTGTTTGGGATCATCCTAATGGAGTTAGGGACTATATATATATATATATATATATATATATATATTAATTTAAAACTTGTAAAGTCATCAATTAATAATTAATATATACATAAATATTATTAATTTTATTAGCTATATATATATATATATATATTTTATTTCTTCTGATAATTTTAAATTCTAACATCATTTTTGTTATTATGATTGTCAACTATTTTACTATACTATAAAAAAAAATTTGCAAAATTTATCTTAAATTTATTCAAATTAATTAATTAATTAAAATTTTTTTTTAAAAAAAATTATGTTGTATTGATATGTTCCGAATCAGTCCCGAATTCGATGCAGAGCGTTAAATCGAGTTTGGGAAAGCAGTACTTGATGTTAACCTAGCTACCCTATCAGTTCATTCATAAAGGTGCATTAGTGTGACAACAACAACTCATTAGGATAGGTGGGCTGCCCAGATCAGCAGTACAACATTTACCTCCTACTCATCGTTGGAGTAAAATCTAAAGCAATATTCACGACAGACAGTATAATTTTCGTTTTTATGTTAATCATATTTTTCTTTCAACAGAGCATAAATGATGTAATCACGGGAATAATATTTTATGGAACTCGATTATACATGCAAGCATCAAGTCATGAGTCAAGGAATGCGCATTCTACAGCATTGGTGCTACTCAACACTCGAAACATAGCTGGTTACAAGTCTGTTGATGAAATGGTGATGGAGCCCCAAACTGAGACGAAATGGGGGAACCAATTCGGGTTCTTGCACGTGCCAATTCCTGAGTTAGATGGAGCTGACTCTTCAGATCCGATCTATTTTGTCAACAATGCACGGCAAATAATCAAGAAAAAGAGAAACTCCGGGGCTGTTTATCTCACCGGCAGGTTGCTAGAGACACTGAGGACATATAGAGGCCCTGAGGTGCATATATTTGTTCTCTTAACTGCCTTTAAAGCAAACGCACACACTCACAACATGTCTTTACTAGTGGGCTCGAACCCTCAACACTTCTTTTGAAGAGGAGATATTATACTATCTGAACTATTGGTCCGATGTTAGAATTTCAAATTGATGAAAGCAAAATGCACCATATAATGGGTGGTTTTGGAAATATAGAGCACCTGAGGTGTATATATTAGTTCTCTAACTGCCTTTAAAGCAATCGCACACACTCACATGTCTCTCTAGTGGGCACGAACTCTCAACATTTCATTTGAAGAGGAGAGTCCGATGTTGGGATTTCAAACTATGAAAGCAAAATGCACCATATAGTGGGTGGATTTGGAGATGCAATAAACATATTTGTACTTAATTTCCTATGAACTAACAGTTACTAGCAGTTTTAGAAGTGATTTGAATTTTTGCTTTACAAAACAATCACATTGCTAAATTCGCTCTATGTTTTGATTATGCAGAGGACTGCTCAATACATGCATAGAACACTAAAGAACTCAAGCATGACATTGTCAAATATGATCGGCCCGGTGGAGCAAATGGTTTTGGCTAATCATCCTGTGAGAGGCTTCTACTTCATGGTGGTCGGAGTTCCACAGGTATATTATATATTACATTTCTTCATATAATTAGCTATTACGATTAAATGTGATTATAAAGTATTAATGTGTCTATTTATCCATTCAAATTTCATAAAGATAGGTCCATATAGAGAAGAAAAAACACAAAATCAATGCATGAAAACATATATAACTTGAAGATTGGTGAAAATTATAAATTCAAATTACTCTTTGCCCTAACTTAGTTTCACTAATCATATACTCCCTTTGTCCCATATTAGTTGTCCACATTGGAAATTTCGACTCACCGCTACCTTTTATCTTTGAGTCATTTGAGATTATTTTTAGTCGTATATATTCATTTTATAAACTGATATACTACCTCTGTACCATATTAAATATCCACTTCAGAAACTTTAACTCAGAGTCAAAATTTTCGAAGTGGATATCTAATATGGGATGGAGGTAGATCTTAGTGAGGGTTTCTAGATGTCAGAGTGTAATGTGTATTAAATTTCTGATAATAGTTTAGATATAGATATGATACAAAATACAAATACTATACAAAGAGACTTATGTTGTATACACGCATGTACGTATATGTACGAAAATTAAAATATATATGTATCCATATATGAAATAAAAGATTTTATTTTCAAATTCAGGATACAGATATAGAAAATATTGAACATTTATCAAAACCCTGCTTGGAGTTTCAATATACCAAAAAATTATATAATATGGATATCATTCTTACACAAGTATCAGTACTTCACACAGTTCACACACACTAAGAGTATTTATTATTCAAATTTTTTATTTTTTTCCTTGAGGGAAGGATTAAGTGTGTTAAGATGAATTTGGAGTTGCAGAGTCTTACGATAACAATGGTGAGTTACACGGGAAAGCTAAGGGTTGCGGTAGGAACAGAGAAGGGCCTCATAGATCCGCAAAGGTTCAAGTCATGCATTGAGAAGGCCTTTGACATGGTATTCAATACTGCAGTGAAGTCTGGCTAAAAATTTAGCTCATGTGGAAATTATATTATTGGAATTTTGCTTACTTTCAAAATTATTTCAAAACTACATTATAGTCTTTGGATTGTGTTCTAATTTTTATATGAAAAATCAGATCCTAATTTGTTGAAAATTATGCAATCAATTTCCTTGGACACAAAGTCAGCAAAGATACTTGCCCAATTAAGTCATTGATTCTTGTAAATTGATTTGGTGTAGATTGCAAGTTATTTTCTTTCTATGTACATCTATATCTTTCTTGTATAAATAGTGGCTCCTGGATGTAAAGAATTTCATTACAAAATAAAGGAAATCTTCTCCATTCTTTTTCTTTTAGTTTTTCATGGTATCAGAGCATCCATCAAAGGTGTTCTGGTGTTCTACTGCCATTGCAATTTTTTTTTCATGTCAGACTCTGAATCTGACTCTAACAATTCAATGTCTACTTTAAAGAAGTCCACAAACACCATCTTTGAAGGCTTAGATCCTTCAGATCCTTTTTTTCTCCATTACTCTGATCATCCTAGCATCACCCTTGTCTCTAAAGTTCTTTGACGGAGACAATTATGGTACTTGGAGCCTATGACCATCAGCCTTGGTGCGAAAAACAAAATAGGATTCATTGATGGATCCATTAAAGCGCCCCCAGAAACTGGAGGAGATGTAATGACATGATCCTGTCATGGATCCGAAATTCACTGAGTCAAGAATTGGATAATAGCGTGATTTATGCTGATAAACCGGTCGAGGTCTGGTCCGATCACAAGGAAACGCCTATCGGGAAATTGTGTGCTCACAAATAAGAAAATCAATCAATCTCACTTTACTACACCAAACTCAAGTCAAGTCCCTATGGGATGAACTGGGCTCTTATAATGATTTGCCCTCCTGCTCCTGTGGCGCCATGAAGAAGCTAGCTGAACGTGATCAAATTGAAAAGGTAATTCAATTTCTTATGGGATTAAATGATTCTTATGCTCGCATACGTGGGCAAATTCTTTTGGTACAGACACTTCCAACGGTTAAAAAGGCATATTCACTCCTGGTGCAACAAGAAAAACAGAGGGAAGTGGTTGAGCACCGTGACGATGACATCCCACACGCCATGAATGTGTCCACCAACCTGGCAGCAAAATTCAACCAAGACACACACCTCCAGCAAGGTTGTTAAAATAGGGATTCTAGGCAGAATCGTTTTGGGCTCTGTAGAATCCGAATCGTAGATTCGGATCGTGAATGGTAAGATTCTACCAAATTGTAAAAAAACAATTGAAACTAACTTCTTAAACAATAAAATCTATAAAATATAACAAAAATGATGTCAAAACACATAATATTACATATCCATGAGTTCACAAATTTCAAATCCTACCAATATTTCAAAGTCTGAATATAAATAAAATAAAATGTAGTTCAAAATAACATGAGTTTACAAATCTCAAATCTTAACTCATCCATCTCCAAAGTTAGAAACTAAAATTACATATCAAAAGGAAATTTTTTTTATTAACTCTATGCAATTTCCTTTTTTTTTTTTCGAAAACCGAAGAAATAAAAAGACCTTTTTGTCCACTAATCCAAGTGTTACAAATTAATGAATCATATGTTAACTCGATCTCATTATATTATCAGTTTAGATTACAAGATTATACCTTGACTCGCATATCCGGTAAGTTTTTTAAGCTTTTAAATTATTTTTAATTTTTAATATATATGATAAGCCTTCAAAAAAAAAAAAAATAGTCAAATGAAAATATTGATCATGAAACCAAAATTTGCCTAAACCTATTAGTCACGAGTATGCATCTTTGAGATATAATTAATCATTTTAATTTTTTATAATTAAACACAAAAATATATTATGGAACATCGACATGCATGGTAAAAATAATTGATATATATACATATATATATTTCCTTTTCTGCCACTAATGAAAAATAATTTATATTTTATAGAATAAATATTTAACTTTGTATACCATACTTGGGCTAGGCCTCTTTTATTTTGTAGCCCAGAAGAAACCAACCAAAAAATAAAAAAAGCCCAAAAATAAAGGCCCAAACAACCAATTTTGTAGAATCAGTAGAATCGTGTAGAATCATACGATTCTACCTTCGATTCTACCTCCGATTTTACCGATTTTACCCCCGATTCTACCAATTGAGCGATTCTGCTACGATTTGACTCGATTTTGAGTTCTGAGTCGTAGAATCGTGCCGATTCTACGACTCATAATCGCAATTTTGATAACTATGACCTCCAGGAAGCCATTACACTGCACCCCCTGTAATGGGACTACCCATACTGTTGACAAATGTTTTTATATTATTGTGAAACCACCGAGGAAAAATAGAAGGCCAGTGGCTAACAATGCCCAAGGTGACTAATTTACAAATATTTCTGCCAATAATGCTCAACGTGAATTCACGCAAGAAGAGTATAATCAGACCAAGGCTCTCCTTCGAGAAATGCTACAGGTACCACACGCGGTTCCTCTTTGTTTTTCTTCAAATTTTACATTTTCTGAATCCAAAAATTGGATTATTGACAGTGGTGCCATCGGCCATATTGCTTCTGTCTCCACTCTTCCACATAAGGAGATCCCACCTTCATCATCATATGTTACCCTTCCCACTGCGTGCTGATAATGTTCAATAACTACGTGCCGATAATGTCCAACAACTGTGTGCTGATAATGGAAATGAATTTTTGCAATAAAAAAAATATTTAACGATCTTGGTATTATTTTTCAACATCGCCATATTTTAAATGTACCTTCCATTACTTTTTTTGGGGGAAAAGTCTTCTTACAACTACCTATATAATTAATAGTTTGCCTACACCACTAATTTTTTGAGGTTTTGTTTAACACACCGCCCATATACAATCACTTTCATGTATTTTTTATGCTACAAATCCTAAACTTCTCGCCCGAAAATGTATTTTTGTGGGTTATCCCCTCGGTAAAGAAGCTTATCGAGTGAAACAAATCAATTTTTCTCCAGTCGCGACATTGTGTTTCATGTAAATATTTTTCCTTTTTCTCAATGTCCTCGAGATACCCAACTTAATTTGTGTGATTCCATCGTCATTCCCTTACCTGTGTCTGACCCATACAGAGGGGTGGCAATTAGTGTTTGTGGGTCGTGTTCATGTCGTGTCGATATAAGGGTATTATACTAAATAGGTAAACCCAAACCCAACCCATTTAATAATCGTGTCAAGAATCTCAACACTAACCCAACCCATTTATTAAACAGGTAATCATGTTAACCCATTTAATGACCCGTTTATTAAAACGAGACATTTAATATTTAATCAAATACTAAATAATAGAAAAGAATTGTCACAATTAATCCAAATATTCAAAATAAAAAGAAAAATCATAAGGCGCAGATAAACTTTATGTTGAAATAACTTAACTATCCATAATAATTGGGTTTAAATAAGTAACATATTACATAGGTTATATTCACGATTATAAAATGTTGAGTTAAATGGATCATAAACGGGTGTAATACCCCTAATTTCAAAAGGATAGTTCTGGTATTTAATTTATTCTTTTAATTGAATTTTAAATTATTTAATTATTTATTTGATATACTTGTTTAAATTGGTGTTTAAGTTTCATGGTGTCTTTAAATGTCTTATTACTTTAATTGATTGCATTATTTGTAATTAGTAAATTTATTATGACTTGTTTTATTTAATTGTTGTATTTAATTCTTTATTTTTGTTTAAGTGACTTAATTTAGTTATTTTATTTGAATTAATATAATTGAATATAATATTTTAATTTAATTGTTAATTGTCTTGATTTAATTTTATTTAATTAGGGATTTATTTTTAGAAGTCACGTTTGTAGCCGACGTAGGTTTTTAATTAAGTGTCTTTGGGCCGATTAGGATTCAGCTTGGGGCTTGGACTTAATTTAGGGTTTGATACAACTCTATAAATATATAGGTTACCTCTGTTTAGGGTTTTAGGAAAAAATAAATAAACCTATACACGTCTGTGGAGGCAGAGGAGGAACAGAGGAATTTTTCAGTAGGAATTGCCGGGAACCTGCGAAGATGGCGTAGAGTTTTGGAACAAAAGTCTCAAAGGCAAGTTCTGTCTTAACTCTCTCCCTTAGACTTCGTGTTCTTTGCATACTTAAATAGTTTCAGGTTGAGTTACATGTTTAAAACAAAAAGAAAATATATGTTTTCATGTTTAGAAATTGGAAGCATATCAGTATGTGTTTATACTTGTTAAACTGAGTACACTTGAAACTTTCTTGTAAATTTCTTGGTTTAAATCCATGCTAGTAGTATACTAAGGACATAAACAAGGGTGGAAATCTACTGGAAGTAAGGCATAAATTTTGGAAACCAAAATACTGAAGTGCTGAAGGTGTAAACGATGCTAGAATGCAAGAACAGAGAGAAGAGGAGGGTGAGAGCCGGCTCTCCCTTGGAGGGAGCTGGCTCTCCTTGCAAAGGAGGCGGCTCCACGGCCTTAGGAGCCAGCTCCAAGGCCAATGGAGGCGGCTCCATGGTTTTTGGAGCCGCCTCCATTTTGGTTTTTCCCAGTTTTTACGTTTTGTTGATTTTTCTTTTGGTTTTCAGTGAGACAGGTTCTTGGGTATGGAATTTCTAAGATTTCTAATAGAAACTAAATACTGTAATGGATGGTTTAACAGTGGTCTGGTGTGGGAATAAAGTTTAAAGGGTGTTGAGTCTGCTCCATGTTGGCTTCTTCACAGTTTTTACATTCTGTTTTTATTTCTCAGTTCAGTAAGGAAGCCTATTGGTTAGTGAATTTCTAGTATTGGTTGAGGAGATTACTGTAATGAGTGTTTAGAGACTGTCCAGAGGAAGATTAGAGTCTAAAGGAACAGAGTAATATAAATTTAGGCACCGAGTGTTAATCGTTAAAACTGTATGGATTTTGTATGTGCCTTGCAGACCTGTTTGGTTTTGGATACTGTATTTTTAAATTTTATTAGAAATTTCTGTGATAGTTGGTTCACTGTTAATTACATATATTTGAAAAAAAATACATGTTTTAAATCTATATTTTTGCTAAGGATTAAGTGATGGTTGAATTGTAAAACCTAGTGCATTAATTTGTTGGACAGAAGATTACATATATGATACATTACTTACATTTATTTTGCATGCCATGGAACAGATTGATACAATGTTTATTTGGGCTGGGTTAATTATATAGAAACTGGGAATAGAGTTATATTTACAGACACAGTTCTGTGTGATCAAGTTATGATTTCTATATTGGTTTACTTAAGCATGTTGTTTACTCTACTCTAATATGCTTAGTTTGGAATGGTTGA